GAAAAACAGATGTTGGAATCCACACATAGGGTCTCCCTGTAGGGAACAAGCTGGCTACAGGATTATATATCATAACGTATACATCATTTTGAGTACCATTTATACTGATGGTTTGAGTGAGACGGGCCTTAGGTTATATGTCCCGAATTTCATTAAAAAGATTGCTGGTTGGGGACATTGGTGGGAATAAGAAACATCAATTCAAGAGAACAACCATCTTCCCATGGCAAGCGAGTTAACTGACTATAAAAGTCCAGTTTCCACCTTTGCCGAACTAGGCTGGAATTACTGGGCTCGATCGTAGCGCCACCAGTGGCTATTACCAGGTATGTCCCTTCTAAGCCTCTCCTATGGACCAATCAGATTCCACCTCTCGTATCACTTGCGTTTGTTTCACACAAAATGGTGGCGCCCAGTCAAAACGATCTGATCGATAATCAATATCTATATTGTGATAAAACGGGTCTTACATAACGAAATGCATCAAATCTTGTGGGCTCCTTGATTAAAAACATGAAAAGATTTGGAAAATATCTGCTGACAACGAGTTGTCGGTGCACATGCTTTGCAAATCCTGCAATCGACCGAAATCTGCACGACAGTTTACGAAACGGATTTCGATTTCGGTGCGCGAATTTGATTGGACTATGCATAGACTCGTTAGTCCAGCCAAAATGGACTCCATAATACCAGCCTAGTTCGGCAAGGTTGGAAACTGGACTTTTATAGTCAGTTAACTCTCTTGCCTCGGGAAGATGGAGAAAAACGGGCAATATAAACTATATGAATGGAGCATTGAGCACGTACCATGTGTCCTCGAAAGTCCACATTTACCACGTTGGTGAATTCCACCAAGGCAACCACAGGATAATAATGTTGAATTAGAACCTAAAATAAATAGAGAATTAGAGGTCCCTTTGTGTTCGTCATATCCGTAGTTTACTGTAACTCTACATCTGAGCTGATTATCAGAAGGAGTGAGTCCGCTTACAGCAAACGTAGCTGGGGCTAAAGTGTTCCGGGGTCATCGCACTAGTCTATTTACCTGTGTCAACAAGCTTTGTTCAGCTTTCGTGATCTGTGAGAAGGAGCAGGTTCACAGCAAGTCAGGCTTGACGCTGTACGTCATAATGGCTTCCTTTCAACGTGTTTGTATCCACGCCTTGGCAATGAATGACGTTAACCCTATATCGTATCTTAAGGTTATCGGTGATCCCCGATTGTTTGCCCTGCTTATTCATGTATATACACTGTGTGTCCTAATACCAGATCATGGCTCAGTTCAATGGCAGCCTTTTGACGGTCTATGATGTTTGGAACTAATAGGGGTATTGACGTCACTGGTTGCAGATGTCGGAGCTTATACACGAAACTATGGACACATATACTTTGCCAAAGCATATCTTCTTCAGAAACTGGAATTGAATCATACACCCCGACTCGCCGTTGCCCTGCTTTGTTGGTTTCCCGAACCATTATCTGATGTAATTTGTAAAACTGGGGGACAGCACTCATTTTGACACACGATATTTGATATCTTACACCGGGAAGGGGAGATTACCGTATTCGACGTAATAAGCGCCCAGGGCGCTCTCAAAATTAGAAATAGAATTAGAATATTATTTTGGTGGAAAAAAACAGAGTTGAAAGATACATTTCGTGGTTTATGCTGACAGCCTGAACTGTTTATATACAACAGATGTATATTTAATAGAATTAAATTGCCGATAATTAAGGGTGCATATAACACATGAGTGCGTATTATACACGAATAGATAAGTCTTGTGTACATTGATCAATCGGAAGGGGTGGTAATTGGAATTGTTCACTTGCCAATAAATTAACAAATATCGCCGTGGGCGCTTATTAGAGCGGGGCTCTTATTTCGTCGAATACGGTAATTGTTTTGAATTACGTATATATTCGTAGGTTTTCTTTGTATCCTTGGAAATCCTATATTGGACAAGATATTTGTGGATTTTGTTTTGAGAGAAGAAGATGCGAACTAAAGCGTTATAATTTCAGATATTAATTCCTGCTTTGACACCAACTGCCTGTTCCCAATGACAATAGACAGAGTTCGTATGTCATACTTCGAGCCATGACTATATGGACCCGTGAAGATCCGGGGTAGAATAGGTCTTCATCAACCCATGCTTGCTGTAAAAGGCGACTATGCTAGTCGTAAGAGGTGACTAACGGGATCAGGTGGTCAGGCTCGCTAACTTGGTTGATGCATATCGTCGTATCCCAAAAGCGTGGATCGACGCTCATGATGTCAATCACTGGATTGTCTGGTCCAGACTCGATTATTTACAGACCTCCGTCATATAGCTGGAATATTTCCGAGTGCGGCGTTAAACACCAAACCGAACCAAACCAAAACCATAACTACATAGAAATGGTTTCCTTCGTAGGATGACAATGTAGATCACGTCTCTATCAACTGTTGCATCCCTGGTTACTCCACATAGTGGTCTCCAGCAACCGATGCAGGTCGTCAGAGGCGACCAAATGGATCGGGTGGTCACACTCGGTGACTTTGTACCCCGAAGGCGTGTATCATTGCTCACAATATCAGTCACCGGATTGTCTTTTAAATTCGATTATTTACAGGCCGCCTTCAAATAACTAGATAGAATATAGATAAAATATAACTAAATAGAATACTGCGGAGTGCGGCGTTATACAACAAACAAACAAGACACAGACGCACTATAGCTATGTGCCATTTTCATTTCTAACCAATTGAGGGGCGGTCGGGTAGCCTAGTGGTTAAAGCGTTCGCTCGTCACGCCGAACACCCGGGTTCGATTCCCGACATGGGTACAATGTGTGAAGCCCATTTCTGGTGTCCCCCGCCGTGATATTGCTGGAATATTGCTAAAAGCGGCGTAAAACCATACTCACTCACTCAATCACTAACCACTTGCTAGTGGGTGGGACCACGTTATATCACCCATGATTCGAGGATGTACCTGCTTATTTCAATCAATTAGTAGCCACAACGAGAAAATGTTGTCCAAATCTAAAAATATTTAAAAGGTTGGTCTTGAGCTTCACTCTCGACGGATGTTGACAGCAAGACCTTGCGTGCTCCGCTCATCCGTGTTGACCCCTGGTGTCATCATTGCCAAGGTTACCATGACGATAATTGTAGATTATTAGAATTGTTGTTTTTTTGTATATACGAACATGAATATATATTGACGGCATGGGTGGCCAAGTCGTCTAAGGCGCCGCGATTCGCTGTGCAGAGTTGCGTCCCTTGGGCACGCCTGAAACCTATGATTGTGGGTTCGAAACCCGGTTCGACCCGATTATGTTTCTAGGTTTGTCAGCACCATACCCGTGCTCGTGGGTTTCACCGAAGTGGTAAACGTCTGAGACCTGCATCACTTCGGGCTTTCCTCCCATATTAAGCTGACACGCCGCGATATAACTGGAATACTGTTAAAAGCGGTGTTAAACCCAATTCACTTATTCGGCTATCCTCTCACATCTGTTCGTGATATGACTAAAATATCAAAGGGGTGATGAACTAAACTTACTCACTCTAAGTCTAAAGCTCGTATGTTCTTTCTCAGGTCCTCTTCATGGCATGACCTTCTACGAGAAGGTCTGCAAGCTACGGTCAATGTTTGGCGAGATCATACGCGAAGAAGTCGTTCCTGGCTTCCACTTGTTACATCTCTACAAGCCGGAAGACTATGAGACGGTGTACAGGAATGATGGCAAATACCCAGTCAGAAACTCCTTCTTTATGCTCCAGAGGTACAACAAAAAGTACAACGACGGCATCCATGGCATCATTGACAGGTAAATGAGACGTATATTACCACAGTCGAACACCCTTGTGTCGAACTTTGATGTGTCGAACTACGGTTGTCTTGAAGTTAAAGCAAAGTCCCTGCTTATACCTTCTTTAGTTATGATTTCGGTTGTGTCGAACATTGGATAACTCGAAGGTTCCTTCAACTTCGACACAACGGTGTTTGACTGTTTTAGTACAAGTTGTGCTCCCGTGTTCTCCATTGTCAGTACTCCTCGGTGTTCCATGCATCCCATTACTCCATCACCCGGGAATACATATGACCCGTGAAGATCCAATGTAGAATAGGTCTTCAGCAACCCATGCTAGCCGAAAATAACGACGGTGTTTGTCGTAAGAGGCGATTAACGGGATCGGAGGGTCAGTCTCGCATGATTGATGCATGTCATCGTATCCCAATTGTCTGGGTCGATGCCCATGATATCAATCACTAGATTGTCTTGACTTGATTATTTAAAGAACCGCCGTCGTATAGCTGGTTTGCTGCTGAGTGCGGCGTTAAACAACAAACAAAACAAACTATAGCAATCTGGAGGAAGCGAGTTTTCTTTAACTCATTTTGAGTGGTACACAAATAGTAGTGAGTGAGTGAGTATGGTTTTACGCCGCTTTTAGCAATATTCCAGCAATATCACGGCGGGGGACACCAGAAATGGGCTTCACACATTGTACCCATGTCGGGAATCGAACTCGGGTCTTCTGCGTGACGAGCGAACGCTTTAACCACTAGGCTACCCGACCTCCCCCACAAATAGTAACCTAACCGTATTATGTAACCACGGTGACGGAGGAATGTTGTGTGTAGAAGTCTGTGAAGTATTGACGTCAGTTGTTCTCAAATATCAACCATTGTACAATCTGATTAATTAACTTTCATCTGGTTTTCATTTCTTTGTGAAATTTCTGAACAGTGGGCTTCCAATACGTTTCCGGAGACATTTGCCTATAAATACGCTGACGAGTGTTGACCAGCGAAACGTCTGTTTGTTTGTTAACAAAGAAAAATGGCAACAAAAAGATTGCCTAACAATGACTGAGAGAAACGCATTGGTCATGTTTGTGACAGATGATCTTCCAACATTGTGGCCGTCATTCGAAAGTAACGGAGATGGTATTCAGTGTCAAATCTCATTTCCTGAACCAGATTCCTGTTGTGTCCGAAAGCTTCGCGTCGAGTGAGTGAGTGTGTTAGTTGGGTTTAACGCCGTTTGTAACAGTATTCCAGTTATTCGCGGCATGTCAGCTTAATGTGAGAGGAAAGCCCGAAGTGATTCAGGACTCAGACGTTTACCACTTCGGTGAAACCCACGAGCACGGGTATGGTACTGACAAACCTAGAAACATAATCGGGGCCAACCGGGATTCGAACCCCCAATCACAGGTTTCTGGCGTGTCCAAGGGACGCAACTCTGCACAGTAAATCGCGGCGCTTTAGACGACTGGGCCACCCGTGCCCCCCTTCGCGTCGAGATAGCATTGGACGAATTTATGTTCACCTTATTTTTTATCCATAAATTGTCTCAACTTTGTACTCTACGCCGTCGATATGTCTGGCAGCTGGTACTGTGTCTGTACTTGGCGCTTTCTTTAACGCAGTCAACGCGGGAATAAATCAGGTCGCGCGTTTGCGATGGGAGTTTGGCGGTAACTCCTCAACGCATTTCGACTTGTCGCTGCCGCTTTTCGTTACCGAGTATGAACCAGGCGTTGCTGGCCAAGGTAAAGCCCTGCTTTAAGACTATGAGTATCTGTTATGCAAAGTTACATAACCCTTTCATCACTGATTGTTTCCACCAGGTGGCGTCACGAAACGGTAGTGCGCCATCATCAACCGTACTCAAAGGCACTGCAATGTTTATATCTCGTGAAGAATTCCCCAGCCGCAATGTAAAAATAGCCACTGTTCTTCACTTACGTAAAGACAAAACCAATAGATGTTTATATCCCAATTACTGGTGTAAGCACTTGCGTCAGCCTGAACGTGACGCGTGTACGCCTACGCTAGTGGAGGATCGTGACGGAGCTATACGTTATTGGTGAGGTGGCGTGACATGGGGTTCAACGTCGCGTCCAAGATTATTGCACTTACATAGAGACGTGCTTGCACCTGTGTGTGTGGCTGCTTGTACTAGTCCGGACTGATGCCGATTTATAGTGCTAGCTCACTGAGATACCATGCCGCAGTTTAACGTGCGTATCCCACTCTGACACAGTATACTGACTCCGAGCCGACCAGTCCTTGTTTTAGCCCCTTAATTCCGAGCGCCAGACAGGGTAACAACAAGTATAATCTTTTAACGTCTCCGGGCGGACGCTCTACCACTAGACCACGGAGGCGGTCTTATCCGTAATTGAATACAGGTACCTCAATGTGTTCTCAAACATGATGCAATTTGTCCATAAGTCCTGGGGGCACGGGTGGCCCAGTCGTCTAAGGCGCCGCGATTCGCTGTGCAGAGTTGCGTCCCTTGGGCACGCCAGAAACCTATGATTGTGGGTTCGAATCCCGGTTGGCCCCGATTATGTTTCTAGGTTTGTCAGCACCATAGCCGTGCTCGTGGGTTTCACCAAAGTGGTAAGCGTCTGAGACCTGCATCACTTCGGGCTTTCCTCCCACATTAAGCTGACACGCCGCGATATAACCGGAATAATGTTAAAAGCGGCGTTAAACCCAACTCACTCACTCACTCACTCACTCACTCACTCACTCCATAAGTCCTTATTCCAGTAAGGGGCACAGTTGGTCCATTCGTCTAAGGCCCTGAACTTAGTTTTGCAGAGTTACGTCTCGTGTGCGTTTCTAATTCCTGTGATCGAGGAGTTGATTCTCAGATGCTCCTTGAGTAAGGGTTTTGATTTACCTGCGCCATCAATTCAAAGTACACTATAATGGACACAATCAATAGTGAACATAATCAGTAGGGACATCACCAGTCGTAGTAAAGGGTAAATAGCACCAATCTGAACACAATCAGCCTGAACACCACATTTCTTAACGCAATCAGCCCGAACATCAGCAATCTTAACACAATTAGCCCGGGCAACACAAATCTTAACACAATTAGCCCGGGCAACACCAATGTTAACACAATCAACCTGAAAAGCACCAATCTCATCACAATCTCAACACAATCAGCGCCAAGAGAACAAAGAGATGATTAGCATCACCAGTATTAACACAATCACCATTAATAGCACCTCTCTTAACACAACAGATATTAACGCAATCAGCCTGAACAACACAAGTCCTAACACAATCAGCCCGAACATCACCAATCTTAACACAATGCGCCCGAACATCACCAATCCTAACACAATCAGCCCGTACATCACCAATCCTAACACAATCAGCCCGAACGTCACTAATCCTAACACAATCAGCCCGAACATCACCAATCCTAACACAATCAGCCTGAACATCACCAATCTTAAAACAATCAGCCTGAACATCACCAATCCTAACACAATCAGCCTGAACATCACCAATCTTAACTCAATCAGCCTGAACACCACACATCTTAACGCAATCAGCCCGAACAACACTAATCGTAACACAATCAGCCTGAACACCACACATCTTAACACAATCAATCTGAAAAGCAGCAATCTCAACACAATCAGCCCAAACATCACAAATCTTAACTCAATCAACCTGAACACCACACATCTTAACGCAATCAGCCCGAGCATCTCAAATCGTAACACAATCAGCCCGAGCATCACAAATCGTACCACAATCAGCCCGAGCATCACAAATCGTACCACAATCAGCCTGAACAACACAAATCGTAACACAATCACCCCGAAGAACACAAGTCTGAACACAATCAGCCTGATCACCACAAATTTGAAGCCAACACACGTGACAGAAGTGACATACCGTTCAAAGCGGTGTTAAAACCGTACTCACTGATCATGTGAAAGTCGTTTTGCCGGAAGCTGTTATCTAACCATTGAAGGTTCATGGTCGTTATCTCAAGGACTATATATGACAGGTTGTAATAACTATAAAGGGACAACGTCGTGCATATAGTGTACCTTTAGTTCCCGGACCGCCTCCGTGGTCAAGTGGTAGAGCGTCCGCCCGGAGAGCGGAAGGTCCGGGGTTCGATCCCCGGCCGCGTCATACCATAAGGCGTTAAAAGATGGTACTTGTTGTTACACTGTCTGGCGCTCGGCATTAAGGGGCTAAACAAGGACTGGTCGGCTCGGAGTCAGTATACTGTTTCAGAGTGGGGTATTCATGTTAAACTGCGGCATGGTATCTCAGTGAGCTAGCACTATAAATCGGCATCAGTCCGGACTAGTACAAGCAGCCACACAAACAAACACACGTACATGCACGTCGCTATATAAGTGCAATAATCTTGGACGCGACGTTAAACCCCATTTCACCTCAACTCACCTTTAGTTCCCTGTAATACAACACCTGACTTTCTCACCTTCTGTCTTCAGTCAAGGTGAATCGTGGCACCGGCTGCGGAGACAGGTGCAGCAGAAGATGCTAAAGCCCAAAGCAGTGTCGGCCTATTTTAATGACCAGGCCAAGGTCGCCGATGACTTCATCGACAGTCTGCGCCAACACAGGAACAAAGACGACATCATTGAGGACTTGCTTCAGCACCTCTACAAATTTGCCGCTGAATGTAGGTCACTGAAAAAATAAAGAGTGACGCAATGGTTGTTTCATGTAAAAGGTTTCGACTTATTGGAACAATTGCATGATGCGGACTTTGAACACTACGTTTTATGATTCGCTACATCCGTGAAGATCCGGGTAAGAATTGGTCTTCAGCAAAACTCATGCTGAACCAAAAAGGCGACTTACGTGATCGGGAGGTCAGGCTCACCGACTTGGTTGATGCATGTCATCGTTTCTCAACTGCGTGGATGGGTGCTCATGATATCAATCACTAAATTGTTTGTTCTTGACGTTATTATTTACAGGTCGCCGTCGTATAGCTGGAATATTGCTGAGTACGGCGTATAATAACAAACAAAAATGTTTTGCTAAAGTTCTGTGACTTAAACCTTACTCGATATCAGTAATCTAATGAAACAAACACGAAACTTGACTTAGTGATCCATTAAACTATATTTCAGATGATCTATATTGCTTGTAAGCGAATACCATTTTGCTGACCTGCTTTTGAAAAAATATGTTTACATCAGAGCATCACAACTGTTACACAAAACATTATGCACAAAGAGGATGGAACGAACACTATTTCACTTATGCGGGTTGTTTGCCTGTTTCAGATATGCGGGTTGTTTGACTATTTCACTTATGCGGGTTGTTTGCCGGTTGTTTCAGCTATTGGGGTTGTTTGACTATTTCACTTATGCGGGTTGTTTCAGATATTGGGGTTGTTTGACTATTTCACTTATGCGGGTTGTTTGCCTGTTTCAGATATGCGGGTTGTTTGACTATTTCACTTATGCGGGTTGTTTGCCGGTTGTTTCAGCTATTGGGGTTGTTTGACTATTTCACTTATGCGGGTTGTTTGCCTGTTTCACTTATGCGGGTTGTTTGCCTGTTTCAGATATGCGGGTTGTTTGACTATTTCACTTATGCGGGTTGTTTGCCGGTTGTTTCAGCTATTGGGGTTGTTTGACTATTTCACTTATGCGGGTTGTTTGCCTGTTTCAGATATTGGGGTTGTTTGACTATTTCACTTATGCGGGTTGTTTGCCGGTTGTTTCAGATATTGGGGTTGTTTGACTATTTCACTTATGCGGGTTGTTTGCCGGTTGTTTCAGATATTGGGGTTGTTTGACTATTTCACTTATGCGGGTTGTTTGCCTGTTTCAGATATTGGGGTTGTTTGACTACTTCACCTATGCGGGTTGTTTTCCTGTTGTTTCAGCTATTGGGGTTGTTTGACTATTTCACTTATGCGGGTTGTTTGCCTGTTTCAGATATTGGGGTTGTTTGACTATTTCACTTATGCGGGTTGTTTGCCGGTTGTTTCAGCTATTGGGGTGGTGTGCTTCAACAAACGTATCGGGGCACTGGACCAAACTGCGGGACCTAACAGTGAATCCAGACAGTTTATCAACGCCGTCAGTGACGTCATGCACGCCACCCACACCGAAATGCAGAGTTTCTTTCTCTTCATGTACTTCGACACGCCGATGTTCAAGCGTCTTGTGAAGGCCCAGAATCTCATTAGAAGGTAATTGTCGTTTTACCTTTAACTTCGGATTTGGCTATCCATTTGACGAATTTAACCAGCTGCTATTAATCATAAGGAAGAGAATTCATCAGATGAAGGAGTAACCATATACTCCGAAACGTTGTGTCCCTCATGATAAAGAGGTTCTCGTATCACTTCCAAATGCCTTTCAAAGACCTGCTATTATTCAGTTACAGTCATCTATATGTATCGAGTGTGCAATATAACTATACAATATTCAGTGTTTTCCCGTATCCGCATTTTCATATTTTTTTTATAAATCATTCAACATAAAATGGTACAAGTGCTTTCTCAAAAGCTTATTTTGAAAATAAGGGCACGGGTAGCCCAGTCGTCTAAGGCGCCACAATTCGCTGTCCAGAGTTGCGTCCCTTGGGTGCGCCAGAAACCTATGATTGTGGGTTCGAATCCCGGTTCGCCCCGATTGTTTCTAGGTATGTCAGCACCATACCCGTGCTCGTGGGTTTCACCGAAGTGGTAAACGTCTGAGACCTGCATCACTTTGATTTTCCTCCCACATGAAGTTGCCAGATTAAGCTTATATAATTGGGACACTGTTCAAAGCGGCGTTAATCCCAACAGTCTCACTGTCTTCACAACATTCTCACCAACTCTTTTCCCAGCAGGCAAATGTCACGAGCAGTCACGACGCTGTAAATTATGCAAGGAAAGATATCTCATTTGTTAACGTCCCAGCAATCGCGGCATTTCTAGAACTGACATCACAACCAAAGACAATGCCGGACGATACTTAATGGGTCGCCCTAACATTGTTACACCGTTGTTGTACATAGCCATTGACCAGTGACCAGTGTCCAGTGTCCAGTGACCGTGAAGATCCGTTAGAACTGTTCGTCAGCAACCCATGCTTGTCGTTAGAGGCAGCTGAGGGGATTGGACGATCAGGCTCGCTGATTTGGTTGATGCATGTCACAGTATCCCAACTGCGTAGATCCATGCTCATGATGTCAATCACTGGATTGTCTGGTCCAGACTCGATTATTTACAGACCGCCGTCATATAGCTGGAATAGTTCCGAGTGCGGCGTTAAACAACAAACCGAACCAAACCAAACCGCCTTCATATAAAATACTGTCTGAAATGCTAAAGGAAATTTATTGTGCACGTTGTTCAAAGACTGTCGCTATTGAAATAGAGTAACTACCTGACTGTGGTAGAGTCATTTCAGCCCTATCGACAATTTTGTAGGAGAAAAATTCCAACGAAATCAGCAAGCTTAGATTTATTCAAAGTCCAACGAGGGATGTCAAACAAACTCTTGAAATATGCCCATGTGACTCCGTTATAATAATACTAATAATTTAGTCTTCATAAAACATCTAATCCACAAAAGAAGTCATTTGGAGAAAGTTCTAGATGTACATCTTATGAAATAAGGAAATGACGATGCATTTGTTTGTCAACACTGCTCCCGTGATGCATGTTACATAACATGCCATGCTACGGGAGTCTGTAGATAGAAATGAACACAAGGTGATACACTTGATAGAGATAGGGAAACTATCTATTAGTTTAGACAGGGTGTTATACCGAGCCGCCCAAGCTCTGGAGCTTCCATATCAGGAAGTCTCACGGTATGATAAATAAAACAAAGAACGTAGGGGTCGTCTCAAAAACAAAACCGGGACTTAAAAGGATATCAGACAGCTTTGATACAGGGGTGATTTGGCGTACAGTGTACAAGCTTAATGACCAGAAGGTAACCCCGACTTGAAGTTGAATTCGGGAGGAAATTAAAGGCACATACATTGTATGTTTTCCAGACTACATTAATTATCGCTCTCCACGAGGTGGGATTTCGATACACTGCACGTGGCGATGACCAAGCAGATTTCAGGGAAACATATTCCATCCTGTCTGTGAGGTAACAATATCTCCGCTACATTCATGACTACCACAGTAAGGGTTGGTTGGTTTGTTGATTAACGCCGCACTCAGCATTATTCCAGCTATATGACGGCGGTCTGTAAATAATCAAGTCGGGACCAGACAATCCAGTGATAAATATCCAGTACGGTAAGAGGCGACTAACGGGATCGGGTGGTCAGCCTCGCTGACTTGGTTGATGCATGTCATCGATTCCAATTGCGTGGATTGCGTCTACATTTACAGACCGCAGTCATGTAGCTGAAATACTGCCGAGTGCAGCGTTAAACAACAAACAAACAACCTTGTTGTAGCAAATGTCATACCATATACGTGGCTAAAGAAATCATCTATCGAACAACAAATATTTCTTAATTATAAAACCCCAACCTTCCAATACTCATCCCGTTTCATAGCTTTTCACTATTCCCTCATTTTCCAAACTAATATAGTGCTGTAGGCCCTGAGGATCTGGAGTAGAACAGGTCTTCAGCAACCCATGCTTGCCGTAAAAGTCGACTATGCTTGTCGTAAGAGGCGACTAACGGGATCGGGTGGTCAGGCTCGCTGACTTGGGTGATGCATGTCATCGATCCCAATTGCGTGGATCGATGCTCATGATGTCAATCACTGGATTGTCTGGTCCAGACTTGATTACTTACAGACCGCCGTCATATCGCTGTAATATTGCTGAGTGCGGCGTAAAACAACAAACAAACAAAGATGTAGTGCTGTAATCTCTTAATTGCTACCCCGTCAACACATATCTCTATGAAGTAAAATAACAGCAATACTTTGAGACTACCCAGTATTTAGGTAAATTACCTATGGCATTGGCCGTTTCATACATGCATGACAACACACAACACGTTTATTATCATTGTACCTGTAAAAGCACATTTTAAGGCTAATCACGGTGTCGGTTAAAAATATGTTCTAGAATATATATACGAGGGGCGTTCAATGAGTTTTGCAACTTCAATAAAAGAATAAGTCGCAGAATATCTTTTGCACTTTTTTTGTTCAATATAATCTCCATTCACCTCAATACACTTATTCCATTTGTCCTTCAAGCTTTTAATACCACTTTTATAGAAATCCGCAGATTGGCCCTCTAACCACGCCTCTGTGGCAGCCGTTATGTCCTCGTCATCCTGGACGCGTCTTTCACGTAGGGCAGATTTCATTTACCGGAACAGGAAATAGTCACTGGGGGCTAAGTCTGGGTTGTAGGATGGGTGATTTAACTGTACATTGAATAAGTGTATTGAAGTGAATGGGGATTATATTGAAAAATAAAAGTGCAAAAAGATATTCTGCGACTTGGTCTTACATTGAAGTTGCAAAACTTATTGAACGCACGTCGTATTTGTGTAATTTGATATGTGTTATTTTCATACTCCTATAATTCGTATTTTTTCAATTAAGCCAGAAACGCATTTTTCCAGCATTTCCGACAGTACTTTACCTTGAAATTTTCTGAGTACGGCATCAAACAACAAACAAACAAAGCATGACCAGCGTGATGTTTGGAAAGGTCATTTTGAAATTATTTTTATCCCAACAACGTGAGGCTTGATCACAAGCAATGAATTTCTTCTTTACTCCGTATTCTAGCGTATCCAGTCGACATGCCCAAGACTCCCTTAAGAGAGTGCTGGTAGCTTCGGCTAGTGGTCAGGAGATTGACGGAGAACATGGTGACCTCATTCCTTACATGATGACCAAGACTGACCTCACCGAGGCGGAAGTAATGACGGTAGTGACCGAGTTTTTCTTCGGCGGAGTCGATACGGTGAGTAGCCATTGATCGTATCCGCCCTCAGCCATTGATTTCTGCAAAGACACATTTCGAACTGACTTAGAATTTCATGGTATTCTCCGTGTGCTAATCTGAATTTATGTCTCAAGAGTGTGAAAAATCAATATTCTCTTCTTGAAAGAACGCCCAATAGTCATCTGTCTTATACGCAAATTCCATTTAGGCTCAGATGATTAGCCAACACATGTGTGATGATTAGATTAAACAAAGCTGTGACTGATAATCCTACTGATGCAAAACACACATTGTTTCGATGCCTGACGTGGCTCTGAATGTATGTTTGTTTGTTTGTTGTTTAACGCCGCACTCAGCAATATTACAGCTATACGACGGCGGTCTGTACATAATCGAGTCTTGACAAGACAATCCAGTGATTGACATCATGAGCATCGATCCAGGCAATTGGGATCGATGACATTCATCAACCAAGTCAGCGAGCCTGACCACCCGATCCCATTTATCGCCCTTTACGATAAGCAAAGTCGCCTTTTACGGCAAGTAGGGGTTGTTGAAGACCTATTCTACCCCGGATCTTCACGGTTGGCTCTGAATGTACAAAAACAGTTTAGAACAACGCACAATTAAAGACAGATGAAATGAGTACTAATGGTTTTTTTCAATATGTTCTGGAATTCATTTAGCCCATGGATCATATTTGGTTCTGCATATTCTGGCGAAAAAGTGTTCAGGACCAATTTAATACATTTGTTTGCGACTGAAAACGATTTGTAACATCGCACATATATATCGGCTCATGTCGAACCGGCAATTATGACGTAATGCGTATGTGTGCACAGTGACACGCTCTGCCAAGAATCATTGTTGATGAAATCCTTCTTTTCAAAGCTTGTATTGTGTTGCGCAACCTTTATGATATGCAAAGACAATTTCTGCTGAAATGGATTTTTTATTAGGTACTAAATAATACATTGTTATAAGTTATAAATACAAATCCAATTCCAAACTGCGTGGATTGATGCTCATGATGTCAATCACTGGATTGCCCGGTCCATACTCGATTATTTACAATCCGCCGTCATATACAGCTGGAATATTGCTGAGTGCGGCGTTAAACAACAAACAAAGAAAACAAATGAAATTAAAACATTAGTAATGAATTGAAAGTGACCTTGAACATGTAAATATAGTTTAACGTCAATTTTGTGCCTGAATATGTGAGAATCATGTTGCAGACAAGCCATATGCTGGGCTTCATCTTGTACAACTTGTGCAAGAACCCGGATTCGATGGGGCGTCTGAGAGAGGAGATCGACGCCATTCTTACAGATGGGCGTCCCCCGACAGACGAGGACATCTCCAGGATGACCTATCTGAAGGCTGTCTTCAAGGAGTCGCTAAGGTGTGTTAGTTTGTTGGGTTGAACAGTGTTTCAGTTACATCACAGCTATATGTACGAGGAAAGCCCAAGGTGATGGAGGTCTTGGCAGTGTCAACTTTGGTAAAACCAACGACCACGGATATGGTGTTCCCAGCTAACTGGGACGACACTAGTATTAGAGCCTACGGTCAGTGTGTCTTGAATCAGAAGAACCACAACCAACGTTGACCCCCCATGGCGCTATGATGCTGAAGACACGTGGCTAGTGTCATGCAAATGAAGCAGACAATACATTGATAGCGCCCTCCCTCGTGTTGTCTTTGCTTGCTATTAGAATCCTTTACTGGATTCTTAACAGCTTATTATCACTATGCAGCATTTGTGTTAAATCATGCTTTTATTGTAATGTTCCTGAACCCATGCTTGACTGTTCCAGAATACTTCCTGTTGCCCCTGGCAACGGCAGATCCTCAACACGTGACCTCGTCCTGTCTGGCTTTAGAATACCAAAAGGGGTGAGTCTCAAACTTTGACGGTAATGTCTGGCAGCATGATGAGTCTCAGTCTGCGGAGTTGACGGTATACACACATCTGTTTGTTTGTTTGTTTGTTCAAAACGGCCCCATTTGTCGCCTCTTACTATAAGCATAGTCGCCTTTTACGGCAAGCATGGGTTGCTGAAGACCTATCCTACCCCGGATCTTCACAGGTCACACGTATCAGGTATGACATATATGTATCAGGCTATTTGTCAGTTCACCTGCACAATACGTGTGCTGGTGGGTTTCACCAAAAGTGGTAAACGTCAGAGGCCTGCGTCACTTCGGGCTTTCCCTGCACATGAAGCTGACACCTTGTGATATAACTGAAATACTGTTCAAAGCGGCGTTAACCCCTACTCACTCACCCACCCAATCAGTTCACGTAACCGTGCACCAATAGGAGAACGTATCAGTCCAGCCATAGGAGCACGTGTCAGTCCACCCATAGGAGAACCTATCACTCCACCCATAGGAGCACGTATCAGTCCAGCCATAGGAGCACGTATCAGTCCACGTCCACCCATAGGAGCACGTATCAGTCCACCCATAGGAGCACGTATCAGTCCAACCATAGGAGCACGTATCAGTCCAGCCATAGGAACACGTATCAGTCCACCCATAGGAGCACGTATCAGTATAGCCATAGGAGCACGTGTCAGTCCACCCATAGGAGAACGTATCACTCCACCATTAGGAGCACGTGTCAGTCCAGCCATAGGAGCACGTATCAGTCCATCATCCGCACATCAGTCGGTCCCTCATCATTCCATGAACCTGTCCTTCATTTCAGACGGTCATGGCCCTGCACCATGACGTCACAGGTCACGATGACCAACAGTTTCACGAGGCAAGTCAGTTCAGACCCGAGCGGTGGCTGAGATCGCCAGAGAATCAGCAGACAGTTCATCCCTTCATATTCATGCCGTTTGGATTCGGAGCAAGAGGGTGCGTCGGAAAGAGATTTGCTGAACAGGAAGTGGCCCTTGCTATCGTCAAGGTAATCAGAGTTACCCCCCTTTCTGAATCGTGTTTCTGCGAATCGCGGTTAGTCGACAGTCAGGGCTATGTCATATTCGTCAAGATCAAGTTAGGGGGAGGAATGATGTTCAAGGCAAGGGTCAAAGTTGCCCACTGGCGTTTGGGTAGCTTAGTATATATAACATAAGGTTCGATTCCCAACAATGTGTGAAACCCATTTCTGTTGCCCCCAGCCGTGAAATTGCTGAAATATTGCTAAAAGCGGCATATACCCATACGCACTCACTTATTCATTGCATAAACGCTGTTGTTCAACGTAGTTGTCCCATGTCTGACCGCCTCCGTGGCCGAGTGGGTAGAGCGTCTGCCCGGTGAGGGGAAGGTCGGTGCCTCAATCCCCTGCCGCATTATACAAAAATACATTAAAAATATGGTTCTTGTTTTACGCTGCCTTGCGCTCGGCATTAAGGGAGATAATACAAGAAATGGTCGCCTCGGAGTCAGTATACTGTGCCTGGTGGGGGTATGCGTATCCATATTAAACTGCGGCATGGTATCTCACTAGCACTATAAGACCAGTTATAGTCTCTCTCTCTCTCTCTCTCTCTCTCTCTCTCTCTCTCTCTCTCTCTCTCTCTTACACTGCGGGCATGGTATCTCACTAGCACTATAAGACCAGTTATAGTCCCTCTCTCTCTCTCTCTCTCTCTCTCTCTCTCTCTCTTACACTGCGGGCATGGTATCTCACTAGCACTATAAGACCAGTTATAGTCCCTCTCTCTCTCTCTCTCTCTCTCTTACACTGCGGGCATGGTATCTCACTAGCACTATAAGACCAGTTATAGTCTCTCTCTCTCTCTCTCTCTCTCTCTCTCTCTCTCTCTCTCTCTCTCTCTCTCTTACACTGCGGGCATGGTATCTCACTAGTACTATAAGACCAGTTATAGTCTCTCTCTCTCTCTCTCTTACACTGCGGGCATGGTATCTCACTAGCACTATAAGACCAGTTATATTCTCTCTCTCTCTCTCTCTCTCTCTCTCTCTCTCTCTCTCTCTCTCTCTCTCTCTCTCTCTTACACTGCGGGCATGGTATCTCACTAGCACTATAAAACCAGTTATAGTCTCACACACTCTCTCTCTTCTCTCTCCTCCCTCTCCCTCTCTCTCACAGACAGGCAGACACACAGACACACACAGAGACAGACAGACTGACACACACATATATGCATGCACGTAGCTATATAAGTTCAATAACCCTGAACGCGACGCTAAAACCCATTTCACCTCACCCCCTCACCAATATCAACAAATACCTTTAGAAAGAGGGCATGTTCCTTCAGAATGTCTTGGACCAGAGAATAGGTGACTGTATGTTGAAGCATGCTCGCTCTCTTGTAATAGTCGAGTCGATTCTCAATGATACTGTGCGAGGCTCCTAAGTCATATTGCTGTATTGTGCCGCCAAACTCACTCTTTCATGATAGCTAAATGAGAGATACTTCTAAATATGTGCTTGTAATGATGTGCTTGTATTTTTTCTCCATTTTTCTTCCAGTTTCTGCAGAACTTTGACATCGATTATTGCCACACGACGGATCTGAAATATGAAATGAACATTGTGAACACACCCGTGACGCCCCTCCGCTTCCGGTTTTCAGACCGGAAGTAGTCAGTATTGATTCCTGATTGGCTGACTGAAACTCATGTGTTGCTAGTAAGCTCCTCCAGTAGAGCATACATGCATGTATGTTGACAACAGGCGAACGCCATGTACTGGTAACAAAACCGCGTGTTCACCCCAACAAGAGATTGAGCATGCGTGTCATAAATAGTATGATATTGTACACGTGGCCTACTGCTGATTATAATCTATAAAGCACGGAGTTCACTGAGCATTAACGGACGAACGAAAACCGTTCTGTCATTGAGTTAAACAGGTCGCTAACTGTATAGTGTTACTAAAGTCGCTAGTTTGGACACGTTTATGAAAGTGTATTACATGTTACTATAACCCTAGATGTACATGATGTTGATAACTGTAACGTCATTGAACACGTGTAAAGACTTGGGAGATGCTGGTGTACGTACAACGCCTTGAAGTCGCTATTGCAAGAGTAACGCCTTGAAGTCGCTATTGCAAGAGTAACGCCTTGAAGTAGCTATTGCAAGAGTAACGCCTTGAAGTCGCTATTGCAAGAGTAACGCCATGAAGTCGCTATTGCAAGAGTAACGCCATGAAGTCGCTACTGTGCGTGTGGAGCCATGAGATCGCTTTTGCTCATGTGAATCAATGAAATCTTTTTTGCTTATGTAAAGCAATGACGTAGCTAGTGCACGTGAAAATCCATGACGTCACTACTGTGCGTGGAACACAATGGAGTCACTTGTGAACGTGTTAAGTCTTGATATCGCTTTGTTAGAAAGCCATGAAGTCGCTATTGCACGTGTAAAACTGCTTATTATAATTTGTCAAGCACGGAGTTCACTAAGCATAAAACCGACGAACGAAGACTCGTTCTGTCACTGTGTTAAACATGTCGCTAACTGTATAGTGTTACTGATGTCATTGTTTTTGACGTGTTGTTGAAAGTGTATTGCATATGATGTACGTTTCGTTGATGACTGTGTGACGTCATTGAAGCCTGTACGTCAGCTTGCTACTGCACGTGTGAAGGCAGGAAGTTGGAAGTATCCTTGCCATGAAGTCGCTAGTGCACGTGTAAAGGCAGGAAGTTGGAAGTATCCTTGCCATGAAGTCGCTAGTACACGTGTAAGGCCTTAGACTATCTACGGTACGCGAAAAGCCATGAAATTGCTTGTGTACGTAAAGTCATGAAGTCGCTCAAGCTTGTGTCAAGCCATGAAGTAGCTATTGTATGTGAAAAACCATGAAATCGCTAAACTGTGTGTAAAGTCATGAAGTCGCGTCTTGCTCGTGTCAAGCCATGAAGTAGCTATTGTATGTGAAAAACCATGAAATCGCTAAACTACGTGTAAAGTCATGAAGTCGCTATTCTACGTGTAATGTTATGAAGTCGCCCTTGCTCGTGTAATGCTATGAAGTAGCTATTTCACGTTTAAAACCGTTAAATCGCTTTTCTACATGAAGTTGCCATAGCACGTTTGCTACTATGAATTCCCTACAATAAGTGTAAATATCACGAAGTCGCTGTTACACGTGTAAAGCTATGAAATAACTAATGCACGTGTACAACCATGACAACGCTACTGCACGTGTAAAGCGATGAATTTCCTATTTCAGGTGTAAAGCCATGACGTCGATATTGTACGTGTAATACCATGAAGCAGCTATTCGTGTAAAGCCATGAATTCGCCATTGTACCTTTAATACCATGAAGTCGCTACTGTTGTGTAAATAATAAATTGTACGATTCCGACTCTATCATGAGATGTGTTTTATGAATTCCCATCAAATAGTGATGATACCAGATGTTTGCTGAAGGTGAGCGTGTATCCCGCCCACCCTACCTGTTACACTCGTTCGTCATGCTTGTCAAGTCAACTGTAAACGACCGCCTCCGTGGTCAAGTGGTAGAGCGTCCGCCCGGAGAGCGGAAGGTCCGGGTTTCGATCCCCGGCCGCGTCATACCAAAAGCCGTTAAAAGATGGTACTTGTTGTTACCCTGACTGGCGCTCGGCATTGAGGGGCTAAAACAAGGACTGGTCGGCTCGGAGTCAGTCTACTGCGTCTGAGTGGGGTATTCATGTTAAACTGCGGCATGGTATCTCAGTGAGCTAGCACTATAGATCGGCATCAGTCCGGACAAGTACAAGCAGCCATACATACACACACGTACATGCACGTCACTATATAAGTGCAATAATCTTGAACGCGACGTTAAACCCAATTTCACCATCACCATCAACCGTAAACCTGAAAAAGAAACATGAGAACATGTGGTACAAGTCAAAATAGGCAGTTACATCATTTTCATCACTGATGCGTCAAATTTGGAAATATCCCTCACATGTCTCCCATAACACTTTTCGTAAGCTTCGCTAAGGCCTTGAATGCTGTAACCCTGATCAAATAACTTGTGAGCAAGTGTTGTATGATGCTCTTTGAAATCTTGGTAGAAAGAGCATGCTCGATTGTACCTAAAACGTGAAATGTATAGTCAGCAAAGACTGAAGCTGCTGGAATGTTGCTCGACATAAGTCTCTTGCTATACAGTCTTGTAGGGAGTGTTTTCTCGCTCTACATCTTTATGGACATATCTAAATGTAAAACAGAAGAGGCGATTTCAGTGGTCTCTCTTATTTCTTGCAATGACAATTCCATGAAGTTGCTATAACACGTGTAAAACTGTGAAGCTGCTACTTTATTTGTAGCCGTGACGTCGCTACTACACGTGTAAAGCCACAAGGCCGCTACTGCACTTGTAAAGCCATGACGTCGCTACTGCACGTGTAAAGCCATGGCGTCGCTACTGCACGTGTAAAGTCATGACGTCGCTACTGCACGTTGTAAGCCATGGCGTCGCTACTGCACCTGTAAAGCCATGACGTCGCCACTGCACGTGTAAAGCCAGGAGGTCGCTACTGCACGTTTAAAGCCATGACGTCGCTACTGCACGTGTAAAGCCATGACGTTGCTACTGCACGTGTAAAGCCACGAGGTCGCTATCGCACGTGTAAAGCCACGAGGCCGCTACTGCACGTGTAAAGCAATGACGTCGCTACTGCACGTGTAAAGCCACGACGCCGCTACTGCACGTGTAAAGCCATGACCTTGCTACTGCACGTGTAAAGCCACGAGGTCGCCACTGCACGTGTAAAGATACGAGGCCGCTACTGCACATGTAAAGCCATGACGTCGCTACTGAACGTGTAAAGCTATAAATTTGTAGGTGTAATGTATGTTTTTTGTACTGTTGTTATGTAACAATATGGTGCCATCTAATATGAGGACAGTGTGTGAAGGGTATAGATTGTACTGATATTGTGTGAAACACTGTAATATGATGACCGTGTACATGTGTAAAGCATTTCCATCGCTACTGTATTTGAAGCAACATATACTTGTGTAAAAACGTGCTGACTCTAAAGTTCATTATAATTAAAATTATAATATATCTAAAGCAGGAAGTCGACATTGACCACGAAATGTCAGGTACTGTGAACAGCAGGAAGTCGACATTGACCATGAGAAGTCATGAACGGTGTAAGGCAGGAAGTCGACATTGACCATGAGAAGTCATGTACGGTGTAAGGCAGGAAGTCGACATTGACCATGAGAGGACATGTACGGTTTAAGGCAGGAAGTCGACATTGATCATGAGAGGTCATGTTCGGTGTAAGGCAGGAAGTCGACATTGACCATGAGAGGTCATGTACGGTGTAAGGCAGGAAGTCGACATTGATCATGAGAGGTCATGTACGGTGTAAGGCAGGAAGTCGACATTGATCATGAGAGGTCATGTACGGTGTAAGGCAGGAAGTCGACATTGATCATGAGAGGTCATGTACGGTGTAAGGCAGGAAGTCGACATTGACCATGAGAGGTCATGTACGGTGTAAGGCAGGAAGTCGACATTGATCATGAGAGGTCATGTACGGTGTAAGGCAGGAAGTCGACATTGACCATGAGAGGTCATGTACGGTGTAAGGCAGGAAGTCGACATTGACCCTGAGAGGACATGTACAGTGTAAGGCAGGAAGTCGACATTGACCCTAAGAGGACATGTACGGTGTAAGGCAGGAAGTCGACATTGATCATGAGAGGTCATGTACGGTGTAAGGCAGGAAGTCGACATTGATCATGAGAGGTCATGAGAGGTGTAAGGCAGGAAGTCGACATTGACCCTGAGAGTACATGTACGGTGTAAGGCAGGAAGTCGACATTGACCCTGAGAGGACATGTACGGTGTAAGGCAGGAAGTCGACATTGATCATGAGAGGTCATGTACGGTGTAAGGCAGGAAGTCGACATTGATCATGAGAGGTCATGTACGGTGTAAGGCAGGAAGTCGACATTGATCATGAGAGGTCATGTACGGTGTAAGGCAGGAAGTCGACATTGACCCTGAGAGTACATGTACGGTGTAAGGCAGGAAGTCGACATTGACCCTGAGAGTTCATGTACTGTATGTGAGGCAGGAAGACGATAGTGACCATGAGAGGACATTTACGGTGTAAGGCAGGAAGTCGACATTGACCCTGAGAGTTCAGGTACTATGAAAAGCAGTGAAAGGCAGGACGTTTACACTGACCATGAGAGGTCAGGTACTGTGAGGCAGGAAGTCGATATTGACCCTGAGAGGTCAGGGACTGTATGTGAGGCAGGAAGACGATATTGACCATGAGAGGTCAGATACTATGAAAAGCAGTGAAAGGCAGGACGTTAACACTGACCATGAGAGGTCAGGTACTGTGAGGCAGGAAGTCGATATTGACCATGAGAGGTCAGGTACTATCAAAATCTTGTGAAAGGCAGGACGTTTACACTCACCATGAGAGGTCAGGTACTCTTGAGGCAGGAAGTCGATATTGACCATGAAAGGTCAGGTTCTGTGAAAAGGAATTTTCTTGACCCTAAATATTGTTTGTTATTTTTGTTTATATATGTACATATACGTCCTGCCTTTCACGTTTACACTGACCATGAAATGTCAGGTACTGTGAGGCAGGAAGTCGATATTGACCATGAGAGGTCAGGTACTGTGAGGCAGGAAGTCAGTATTGACCATGAGCGGTCAGGTACTATGAGGCAGGAAGTCAGTATTGACCATGAGAGGTCAGGTACTGTGAGGCAGGAAGTCAGTATTGACCATGAGAGGTCAGATACTATGAAAAGCAGTGAAAGGCAGGACGTTTACACTGACCATGAGAGGTGAAAAGTACTGTGAAAAGGAATTTTCTTCACCCTAATTTTTTTTTAATTTGTGTTTATATATTTATATATACGTCCGTCCTGCCTTTCACGTTTACACTGACCATGATATGTCAGGTACTGTGAGGCAGGAAGTCGATATTGACCATGAGAGGTCAGGTACTATGAAAAGCAGTGAAAGGCAGGACGTTTACACTGACCATGAGAGTTCAGGTACTGTATGTGAGGCAGGAAGACGATATTGACCATGAGAGGTCAGATACTATGAAAAGCAGTGAAAGGCAGGACGTTTACACTGGCCATGAGAGGTCAGATACTGTGAGGCAGGAAGTCGATATTGACCCTGAGAGGTCAGGTACTATCAAAATCAGTGAAAGGCAGGACGTTTACACTCACCATGAGAGGTCAGGTACTCTTGAGGCAGGATGTCGATATTGACCATGAGAGGTGAAAAGTACTGTGAAAAGGAATTTTCTTCACCCTAAATATTTTTTTTATTTTTGTTTATATATTTATATATACGTCCATCCTGCCTTTCACGTTTACAATGACCATGAGATGTCAGGTACTGTGAGGCATGAAGTCGATATTGACCATGAGAGGTCAGGTACTGTGAAAAGGAATTTCCTTCACCCTAAATATTTTTTGTTATTTTTGTTTATATATTTATATATACGTCCTGCCTTTCACGTTTACACTGACCATGATATGTCAGGTACTGTGAGGCAGGAAGTCGATATTGACCATGAGAGGTCAGGTACTAAGAAAAGCGGTGAAAGGTAGGACGTTTACACTGGCCATGAGAGGTCAGGTACTGTGAGGCAGGAAGTCGATATTGACCATGAGAGGTCAGGTACTATCAAAATCAGTGAAAGGCAGGACGTTTACACTCACCATGAGAGGTCAGGTACTCTTGAGGCAGGATGTCGATATTGACCATGAGAGGTCAGGTACTGTGAAAAGGAATTTTCTTCACCCTAAATATTTTTTTATTTTTGTTTATATATTTATATATACGTCCTGCCTTTCACGTTTACACTGACCATGAGAGGTCAGGTACTATCAAAATCAGTGAAAGGCAGGACGTTAACACTGGCCATGAGAGGTCAGGGACTGTATGTGAGGCAGGAAGAAGATATTGACCATGAGAGGTCAGATACTATGAAAAGCAGTGAAAGGCAGGACGTTTACACTGGCCATGAGAGGTCAGGTACTCTGAGGCAGGAAGTCAGTATTGACCATGAGAGGTCAGCTACTATGAAAAGCAGTGAAAGTCAGGACGTTTACACTGACCATGAGAGGTGAAAAGTACTGTGAAAAGGAATTTTCTTTAACCTAATTTTTTTAAAATTTGTGTTTATATATTTATATATACGTCCGTCCTGCCTTTCACGTTTACAATGACCATGATATGTCAGGTACTGTGAGGCAGGAAGTCGATATTGACCATGAGAGGTCAGGTACTAAGAAAAGCGGTGAAAGGCAGGACGTTTACACTGGCCATGAGAGGTCAGGTACTGTGAGGCAGGAAGTCGATATTGACCATGAGA